GGTAGACGAGTTTCGAGACGGGGACGCCTTAATGGGCTGACGCTCCATCTCCCCAACTTCTTTATCTAGTGACAGGATGTGCCGGGGATGTCCCATTATGGAGGTGCAAGAAAAAGAATCCTCCTTTGGCGGGCAGGTGTTCGAGAGTGTCCCCCCGGCGGAGGTGAGCGGGTCGGGGAGGCAGGGAGGAAAGGGTGACGTCGGCGTCGGTGGAGGTTCTTTGGAGCGATTTTGCAGACGGTGGCTGACTTGCACCTTGCAAGGGCCCTGGCGCCGTGTGCTGCGCACGGCACAGGTCTGGGCCCCCGCCCGCCCCCGCCCCGCCTCGCCACCCTCAGGCTCGATACCATATTCAGAGGAATATGCCGACTTGCTGAGGTAGGTGGACGTACGGGCCGGGCAAAAGCTAAGATGCAGGGCGTGGCGAGGCAGGGCGGCGCACGGGGGACGAACAAGTGGAGTCAGCAGAACCTCCAGGACAGGCGGCCAGGGGGCCGGGCGGGCAGGGCTCGCCTCGGCAGGAGCCCGAGACGGGACAGGACCTCCACCGGGAAGAAAGCAAAAATAAAATAAAAATCAAACATGTAATAATAACACTTTTGGAGCTGAGCTGAGACTTGGTGCGGGCGAGCGCTGCGAGCGCTGCGCAGGTGGCGGTGACGGACAGCGTCTCCTTATCACTCACACCCCATTTAGCGCGCGAGTCACCTGCGCCCTGCGCGCCCCCGCGGCAGGAAGACTACTTGTGGTCGCGCTCTCACTCCCCGCCGGAGGAGAACTCCCCTGGAGAACGCCCGAGAGCCGCCCGAGAGCCGCCCGAGAGCCGCCGCTGTCGACCGTTCATTTTTCTCCAGTGAAAAGGTGAGAATGCCGCGGACAATGGGGGCCGCTGCTGCCGGAATGGCGCTGCCGCTGCTGCTGCTGCTGGAGGCGATGATCTGGAGGGAGAGGGGGAGCTCTGGAGGATGCTGGAGGGAAAACCTTCCCGGGCCCGTTCCTTTCCGCGCGGTGACCAGCTGACGGACAGCCCTGCGGGGGAGGGAATAAAGGACCGGGGCGGGGCGGGGTGAGGCGGGCTGGCCTCAGCGCTTTCCCGGAACACAACACCTGCCAGCGCGGCTAGAGCTGGGGCCCCGGTCGGAGGAGGGAGAGGACGGCGACGAGGACGAAGAGGACCAGGAGGACGACTGCAAACCTGTTAGGGGAAGGAGGACGACACAAAAATAGGAGGAGGTTTTAAGCTTCAAACGCCAACTGGAGGAAGACGTTTGCTTTGTATTGCCCGTCGTATTATTTTAAATTCCCCTCGTTTTGTTGTTGTTGCTGCTGTTTGTTTTTTTTTTCTCGTTTTCCGCCGAGGTGCGCCGGGCGGGCAGCAGGGAGGCGATTAGGTGGTGGGGGGGGGGGGGGGGGGGGGGGGGGGGGGGGGG